ATTACATAAATCAATTTTAATATAAGCTAATTTTGCAATGACTAAAACAAAACGATAACGATTAAACACAAAATAAAAAATATTTAGAAAACATTATAAAACTAAACCAAAAAAGAATTACAAAATAGATCAAATATTTAAATCTTTTTTGAATAAGATTTTTATTCCCTCAAAACTAATCAAATCTTCTCACGAAACATCCCCTAATTAAAATTGCAAGAAAGGGTAGATGAAGCAAACAAGAAAGAGAAACACTAGTAGTATATTAGAGAGAGATTTAAATGAAAAGTAAAATTTAGTACTCCAATATAATAAGTGAAGCGAAGAGTCACACAAATATAATGAAAACCAAAATCATGTAAGAAAATCGGTGTTGTTTTGGAATTTGGACCCACAAAAATCTAATCGAGTCCACAGTCACTATTTTCTCCTATAATTCTATTCCGTGTCTTTTTATTAACCTTAATCCTTGTTTTATTACTCTTCAATTTTTCATTCTTCACCCTCTAAATCAATTATATAAATTTTTTAAATTGCCTCTTTGCTACAAATTATTTACATAAAAAAAGACATTTAAGTCATTAAACAATATTTACCTTTTACATTTATCTATAATTGCAAATAAAAGAGGTGTCTCATGGAATTATTTACCAGTAGTAATTTATGTAAAAGTTGCGAGTAATTAGTGGTGTCTCATGGAATAAAAATTGATATTTCGTTTCTCGCAGGATTTGTGTCCCTCTTTTTCTCTTAATCGCGAGTCATCCGGCCCCACGTGATTGCAGGTTCTCTTTTCATTCTTTATAACTTCTCAATTCTTCTTTTATGCCACGTGTTTACACGTAGAGACTTTTTGTTGTCTCTAATGTCCAAAAGAGGGACTATTATAGGCATCCCAATGATTTAACTTTGTATGCATTAATAATTTCGGAACATAGGTATGAATTGTAGTTGGATGAGAGCCAATCAATTAAGTTTCGAGTACGAACAAGGAGTGATGGAATTTCTAGAGCTTGCTGAAAGTAATGCTAAAAAAATCTTGCTCCTCCTAAGAAGAGTGATGCTGAAAAAAGTCTTCATCTGCTTTTTCTCTGTCCATGTGTTCGTTGTGTAAATCACGAACCAAAACTCAATAAGAAAGAAATCATGGATCATCTAATTTGTCATGGGATTTGTCAAAGTTATACACAATGGATATGGCACGGTGAGGTAGTAGCAAAGTTAAATGTGTCCCAAAGAGATAATGTTAGTGCAGAAATGGATGATCGTCTGGAAGACATGATGCGTGATATTGGACAAGATTCATTTAAGAAGGCGCATGCGTATGATACTTTATGCAGTGACAAGGATAAACCTTTGTACCCTGGATGCACAAATTTTACACGTTTGTCAGCCGTGTTAAAATTGTTTAATTTGAAGGCAAACAATGGGTGGACTGACAAAAGTTTTACTGAATTGCTTGAATTATTGACACAGATGCTTCCAGAAGGTAACGTAATGCCAAATCGTTTTTACGAGGCGAAAAAGATATTGTGTCCGACGGGTTTGGAGTATGAAAAGATACATGCATGCCCTAATAATTGCATATTATACAGAAAAGAGTATGTAAACTATAATCATTGTCCGAAGTGCAAGGCGTCACGCTACAAAAAGAAAGTTGGTGATTCTAGTGATGATGAGGCGGTAAAAAAGGTTCCTCCCGCGAAAGTGGTATGGTACCTACCAATAATTTCAAGGTTCAAGAGACTATTCGCTAATGCAAATGACGTAAAGAATCTTAGATGGCATGCAGAAGAAAGAAAGTGTGATGGAAAAATTCGCCATGTAGCTGATTCTTTACAATGGAAGAAAATAGATGTTTTGTTTCCAAATTTTGGCAAAGAGTCGAGAAACCTTAGACTTGGACTTTCAACTAATGGAATGAATCCGTTTGGTAATCTAAGTACTAACCATACTTGTTGGCCTGTTCTCCTGATGATCTACAACCTATCTTCTAGGTTGTGCATGAAGCGTAAATATATTATGTTATCGATGATGATTTCGGGCCCAAAACAACTCATAAATGACATAGATATTTATCTAAGTCCTCTGATTGATGATTTAAAAGTGTTTTGGGAGGAAGGGGTGGATGTTTTTTATGCGTATTCAGGTGAACAGTTCAATATGCGTGCCATGTTGTTTTGCACCGTCAACGATTTTCCGGCATATGGAAATTTGTCTGGTTATAAAGTCAAAGGGCATAAAGCATGTCCTATATGTGAAAAAGACACATGTTACCATCAACTTGTAAAAGGAAAGAAGACTGTTTATCTCGGGCATCGAAAATTTCTAGATCATTATCATCCATATCGTAGATTGCGGAAAGCTTTCAATGGGGAACAAGAGCATGATGTTGCTCCAAATCCCTTAACTGGAGAGGAAGTTTATCAAAGACAACAAGGCATTAATGTCGTCTTTGGAAAGTACCAAAAGAAATCTACTGTGAAAAATATATGGAAAAAGAGGTCGGTTTTCTTCAATCTTCCATATTGGTCTAGTCTTGATGTAAGACATTGTATTGATGTGATGCACGTGGAGAAAAATGTATGTGATAGTTTAATTGGAACACTTTTCAACATTCAAGGCAAGACAAAAGATGGTTATAATGCTCATCTGGATTTGAGTTTGATGGGTATACGAGAAGAGTTAACTCCACAACATATAGGTAACAAGATATATACAAGATAAGTTACGTGACAAAAAGAGAGAGTGTCACTTGCTACCATTTGTTCATGGGTAAGTTTGTATGAAATTATGTTTTCTATTTTTTAATTTTGGTAACATATATAATTCAATTTTGGTAACATGAAATTGTGACTTTTGTGTTTCCACACACACGTACAGAGGTCATTGGCAATTAATAGTCATGTGTCCAAATGATAATACGGTGGTCGTCTTTTGTTCCCTTCATCATGAACTTAATCAAACCATGACAAAAATTATTACAAGGTAAGTTTATCTTTTATGTTCACTTCATCCTATATACATAATTTGTTAAAAAAGTAATATCATGTATTATGTGGCTTTATATGAATTTTTTTCTTCTGAATTAGTGCTTTTGGGGTTCATCAAGCGGAAAATGGGAATAGAAAAAAGGCTACATGGCTTCAACCCAATGTAAGTGTGGTGTAAATTATAATTAGATATTTAATTTTATCATATAAGTATTCACTAATTATGTCATTTATTTGTAGACAAGGAAACAACCTAACTCTAATGATTGTGGGTATTATGTGATGAAAAATATGTTGGATATTGTCTTTGCCAAGATAACCAACTCTTGGATGAAGGTAATAAAAATGACTTTAATTTGTTATTTACTTTACGCTTTGCAACTTAATGTGAATTTTCAAAGAATAACTCTATTGTTACTTATGTGTTGTAGGTATTTGATGACCCAACGAACCTATCGCCCGATGATTTGTATGATTTGCGACTCCGTTGGGCAACATGTTTCTTTGAATTATATAAAGGTTAACCTTTTTGTTGTTGTAGTACATTTGTGTAGCTTTTTGTTGTTAGCACATTTGTGTACAAAGGTTAACTGGCCTTTTTGTTGTTAGTACATTTGTGTATATCCTTTATATTGACACTTTTGTAAATCAATTATGTGTATACTAGATATTTGGTGCAATCAAATTAGATTTTTGAGAAAAATATGAAAATAACGACCTAAATATGGTCTATGTGATGTTGCAAAACTATGAAAATAGCGACCTAAATGTGGTCTATATGATGTGCACTATGGAAAATAGCGACCTAATTATGGTCAATGTAATGTTGGAAAAATATGAAAAATTAGGTACCAAAAAAGATACAGGGAACGGCTAAAAAATAGGCAAATAATTTATACTCGTAACAGTACTTTTTACATCAGGCGAATGAAAAAACCGATGTAAAAAGTGTCAGCAAATTTTTTTTCCCTACACAACTTTTCACATCAGGTGAACCAACAAACCGATGTAAAAGGTCTACCTTTTACATCGGTGTTACCAGAGAACCGATGTAAAAAAGTGTCAGCATGAATTTTTTTTTCCTCCTGTACTTTTTACATCGGTTGTGGCACGCAACCGATGTAAAATACCCACCTTTTACATCGGTTTTTCCCCGCAACCGATGTAAAAACACCCTTTTATAATTAAAATTTACAGTTATAAATATTTTTTCACATCAGACTTAAAAATTTAACTGATGTGATTGGTGTATTTCTTACATTGGGCCACATAACCGATGTAAAATGTCTTTGATTTACTACATCGCCTGGCTTTACATCGGACTAAGACCCGATGTAAAAAGTCAATTTCGCCCGATGTAAAAAGTCATTTCTTCATTATTTTATCCGACAAAGTTGTTGGGTTAGTCCTAGATTATCCGACAAAGTTGTTGGAAATGAACTTGGTATCCCTTCTTATATGTTTCTAACATCAAATGATGGTTTTTTAAGTTTCATGCTTTCTCTTCAGAACCGCCGAATCGAAGATGTTTTTGATGAATCTGACCATGATCGTCAGTTATTGATTCACGGTTTCTCAAATCTAGTCCCTTCTAATGTTTTACCTGATGTTGTTTTTAACAAATATGGCGGATGTGTAGCTTATTATAAATATGCTGAGAGGTTTAGAGACACCAAAGGTATTATTGTTAATACTTTTTCATATTTGGAACAATTTTCAATTGATGCATTATCTAATCATGATGAAAAAATCCCACCTATCTATGCTGTTGGACCTTTGTTAGATCTCAAAGGTAACCCTAGTGCTAAGTTAGACCAAGCTCGACGCGATCTTATATTGAAATGGCTAGATGAACAACCATATAAATCTGTTGTTTTTCTATGTTTTGGAAGCATCGAAATTAGCTTTGGTCCATCTCAAATAAGAGAAATAACATTCGGACTTAAGAATAGTTGAATTAGGTTCTTGTGGGATGTAAAGTCTCCACCAGAAGAGTATTTATAATGGATGGAATTGGAAGGTAAGGGAATGATATGTGAATGGGCACCTAAGGTTGAGATATTAGCACATAAGGCTATTGGTAGATTTGTTTCACATTGTGGATGGAATTCTATTCTGAAAAGTTTGTGGTTTGGTGTTCTAATATTGACATGGCCTATTTATGCAGAACAGCAGCATAATGCTTTTAGGATGGTGAAGAAATTGGAGCTAGTTGTGGAGTTGAGAGTGGATTATAGAATAGGTAGTAAAGAAGTCATGGCTAAGGAGATTGAAAAAGGGTTGAAGGATTTGATGGATAGAGATAACATTGTTCAAAAGAAGGTTCAAGAGATTAAAGAGAAGGCTAGAAATGTTGTTGCAAGTGGTGGATCTTCTTTCATTTATGTTGGAAAACTTATTGATAATATTTTAGGAAGCAACTGATAAACTCTTTTTTTTCCTTTATATGGAAACTGTTGCCATTTATGTATGACAAATATACTCAAGTAAGCATGCTCTATTAAGTTATGCTTCTATTTGGAGGTTAAATAATATTGTTTATTAACATCTGAACATTTGAAATTTCTTAAGCAATACAGAAAATTTGACCATCAAAAGATTAGTTCTAAAATACTAAGATAAACCTTTTATAGCAAAATCATTCCGGTTAAAAACTACCTTTATAGAATTAGGTGATACAATATATAAGTTACTATAGATATGGTAACTTAGTCGGATTTCAAATAAAAATGAAGTAACTTTAATGATAAAAAGATTTCAAATAAAACACGATGCCACATGTCAAGAACTAAAATATTTAATGGCAAAAAATATGATTGTTCATGGTACAGTTTATAGAAAAAACTATACCGAACCGAATTAAATCATAATAAAAATTTACTTGAATTAAATCAAATCGTTTTAATTTACTTAGAACCGAACCGAATCGAATCAAACTCATTGGTTTGGTATACCGTTTAGAAATTCCAAACCGTATCGAACCATTAGAAGACAATTTTTCCAAACCAAACCGTTTATTAAAGAACCGAACCATTAAACTATTTTTCAAAATTTTAATATAATAAAAATTAAAACTTGTTTTTAGGATTTTTAATTTTCAGTTTCAATTCAGTTTGGTTGCAGTTTCGGTTTGGTTTGGTTTCAAATCGGTACGGTTCTAGAACTGTTTCGTGTAATATGGTTTGGTTCACTAATCAAACATAATGGTTCAGTTATTTTAACTTCAGTTCGATTTCACTCGACGGTTTGGTTTGGTTCATGGATTTTTTGAACAACCTTAACAAGAAATAAAGATGATTCAGACCTAGAAAGCAAGTATGCTTACGGAGATGCTTATTTATAGACACAACACTAGTATATTGTATATGTATTACGAGATTGTAACTATTGAGAAATTGATAAAATAATTAAAATTATTTTAAAAGAATTATATCGAGTTTAATCACATGAAAAAATTTGACGTGTAGGATAAAAAACCAATGACAATACGACAAATAGCATTAAGTAATAAAATAATAATACTAGGCGAGAATATAGAGAATTTGCTTACCCAATCAGATTAAATCGATCTACTTATGAAAAAGAGAGTAGCTCAACAATTTACTATACTTTAAAATTTTTTACAAGATATTACAATATGAATTAAAAAAAAAGCCTTTAGAATTCTCAAGAATAAACCATATTTTATGTTTTCCAATCTCTCCAACTCTCAATATAAGAATTACAAAAACTCAATGTGTTTAAAGTGTTTTCCAACCTTTGATAATCCTAAAAGGCTGCAAAATCTCTAAAATATAATTCTAAGGAATTTTACCTTTTATTTCCCACTAGGATTCTAACTTATACAACTTCTGCAACTTTTGTGTATTAACAAATGAGAGAAAAACTACATCTATAACTACCAAAACCTTAACGTGCCCAAGATATGACCTATTAACAAACGGATCCGCGAACAAGCCTAAAAGCTTGTCAGTATCGAAATATGTTTTTTATTCTTCTCTTTTGTCACTTGAGATTTTAAGGCATATTGCAACAATTCTCCACCTTGACTTTAAACCGATGATGATGTTAATTCAACCACTTTGTTTCTCTCTTTAAAGCTTGAATCACTATTCAAAAAATTTGATCAAGTTCAATAAATATTTGAACCTTGATCTTGGCAATGATTTGGTGAACATATCTGTTGGATTCTCCTCTAAAGGAACTTTCTGAACCTTAATCTCATTTGACTTTATTATGTCATGCATAAAGTGTAAATGAATGTCAATGTGTTTTGGCCTCTCATGATAAACTTGATGATTAGCTAGGTGAATGACAATTTGACTATCACAATTTATTTTCGCACATTCTTGAGTAATCTCTAACTCCTCAATCGTGCCTTTCAGTCATATGGCTTCCTTAATCACTTCAACAAGGGAAATATATTTCAGTTGAGTAGTAGATAACCCAACCATTAATTATTGATTTGACTTCCAACTTATAGATCTCATAAACAATGTAAATACAAAACCTGATACGACTTTTCTAGTGTCCACATTACCTGCATAGTTTGAATCTACAAAGTCTTCCAAAGAATTTTCCTCTTCAATTGACCTTGTGTACTTAAAACCACCATTTAGAGAACCATTCAAATATCCCAGGAGCCACTTCAATGCTTCCCAATGTATTTGACCAGGATTTTCCATAAACCGCCTTACTATGTTGACTGCATATGCTAAATCCAATCTACTACAAACAATATCATACATAATGCCTCCAACCTTAATTGCACATGGAGTACTCTCCATTATCTTCTTCTCTTCCAGGAATTGAGGACATTTTTAAGGTAAGGTACAACATGTTTTTATGATATAGACCTTACAGATTCAACAAATTTTTTACTATGTTTTCGAAATGGAAAAAGTGACATGTTTAACTTTGGACACATTTCTAAGTCCATAGTAGGTTATTTGATTATTCTCTTTTACAATAATCAATTAAGTTGGCTGTTATTTTGTGGAAAACTTTACTTTTAACTAAGCTTAATCGATTACCCTCCTTGGCTAACTGATTAATCATTTCAAATCCTTCATATTTTTGTGTATTAAATGAAGGGTAATCAATTACCCACATTATAGCTAATTGATTAACCCTGCTTTAAATTGAAATAATATTTAATCATTGCATCACATCTTCATCTCTAATGATCATAGAAACTTTTCATACCATTGCATTTGAACATAAATTTTTTTTAAAGGTTGTTTCTTTAAAATCAAGAGGTGCATGGTTCATTATAAATAGAGGAATTCTTAAATTAAAACTCACCTCTTTCCTGACATATTATACCGTGTTCAAAATTTTCATAGAAACTTTTTCTACAACATAATTTTCATATCAGATAATAAGCTTCATCCTCTTCTTTGAGCACTTAAGTATACTTATCATTTGATCATATTGTTTCAGGAAAGGATAAAATATTGTTAGATGTGCTTGAAAAAGTGTTCAAACAATAATCTGTATACAAAATATATTTTATTTTTGTTGTAAACTTGTTTATCAGGTTGTGATAACAAGTGTGTAAAAGAGGAAGTATGATTCTTTCTCTTAGATTGTAAAAGTATAGAAAGTGGGTGCTTTCTTACTTGTGTTAGAATTTTGTTAGAGAGTCTAGTGTTGACTTTAATAAGAATTTTAATATTGTGAAATCTCTCATAGGGTGTGAGGGGACTAGAGTACTCTTGTTTGGAAAGAGAAATCAGGATATATCACTATATAATTTACTTTACTGCATTTTTGTTGCATATCACTTCTATCTTTTATCCAGAAAAATAAATCTTCATTTTGTTGTTATAAAACTAGTAAAAGTAAATCAGTAATATTTACAATATCATAAATTGGTCACCGTCCCTTAATTTAAATGCAAATGAAACTCAAAATTAAACTAACTTGAATGTTGAGTTACATTCAACAACATCCCTTAATTCACATTTGAAATTCTGGTATCAGATATGAGATGTCGAAGGCGATGTCACGACACTAATATCTGAACAATCACCAATATATGAATAAGATATAAAAGTTGTTAACAATAGTAAATAGACACAAGCAACTGTTAACCCAGTTCGGTGCAAACACACCTACGTCTGGGGGCTACAAAGCCAGGAAGAAAGTTCACTAGATAGAATTAGTTTGAAGATACACATTAGACTCTCTCTAGTTTACCATCTTCGCACCTAATCTCTACCCTTGCAATTTCTATCTAAAACACCTTAGATATGAGATACCTCTCACTCCCCCTTAATCACAGCAGTGATAACAATCAGATGAATAAAACTTAGAAGACACTCTTCAAAAACAATAGTTGATCTTGCTTAAAAGCTTCAATCAAGGACAATACACGCTTGCTTACAAGCTTTGAATGAACAACTTACAACACAAAAAGAACTTAGTCTAATTCACACATAAAGGTGATGAGTGAATGACTCACAAATACAAACACACGAGGCTAAGACCTTATACCTTACGCAATGCACTATCTTAACCTAGCTTCTCTAATCTTCAAAATATGATTGTGAAGACCTTTAAATAGTAACATTGGACGGGCTTGGGCTTTAGCAAAAACAACAGCTGATCTTGATAGAATCAATTCAAATAATTCTTCAAATCTTTTCATAATTAGTATTAAGGAGTAGAAACAAAACAATTTGATTTAATCCAATAAAATCAAATTAAATCAAATAACTCTTCAGGTCTTCAAGATTTTCTTCAGAAAGTAGCACAAAAGATTCCATAATTACTCCACGAATTATGCACAAATAAAACTCTTTTGAATAAGGAATATTTCCACTCAGATTTGAATTATCAAACACTAAACACAACAGTGCAAAGAGTTGCACAAAAATGCAACAGACAAACCAAAACATTCTCACTGAATGTTCTGTTCACAAATGTCAGGACATCACACTTGACATCATGAACTAAACCCTGCAATAACAACAATAACCACCTGCAGAATGTTAAGAACATATGTCAAGACATCCTGTAGGACATCTTGTGATATCACCAAGTTTTACCAAAATTCCTGCCAAACATAGAACTAACAACATTCATATTTAAAAATCAACAATATCAATTACATCCCTCAAATTGATGAAGTGTTCAGTTTTGATCGCCTTAGTCAGCACATCTGCAAGTTGCTTCTGAGTGCTGACAATAACAACCTCAAGTGCTCCATTTTGAACCTAATTGTGCAGAAACTGTTACTTAGTATCAATGTGCTTGCTTCTCCCATGCAACATTGGACTCTTAGCAAGACATATGGCATATTTGTTGTCAATCATCAATCTGACTGGTTTGTGTACCTTGAACTTCAGTTTCTGCAGCAAATTCATCAGTCAAATAGCTTGACAAGATGACAAAGCACCAACTATGTATTTAGCTTCACA